CGGGTCATTTCAAGGGGGCGTGAAGAGTTAGTCTGAGCAAAGAGAAGTGAGAGAGGAGGCCGGGCCAGGCCCTGAATAGTCCTGGCTGGCACTCAAGGAGTCTGGAAAGTCTCCACTCAACGTGGAACGGAACTGGAGAGGGCCAGGCTGGAGGCAGGGGGTCGATGAAGCTGCCTCAGTGACCGGGGAGAGAGGAGGTGAGGTCTGAACTGGGAGGGTTCGGGGATGGGCAGGGGAACCCTGAGAAGCAACGAGGGGGTAGAGGCAGCAGGCTGTGGTGGAGCGTGTGAAGGGATTTTCGTCCTGGACACGGGGCTGGAGGGATGTGCCATCCGCTGAGATCAAGGGGGGCGCGGCCTTGAGGGGGACCAAACTGCCTCAGCTTCGACAGAGCACAGTGGGATGAAGCCCATTAGATGTGTTTACATCCATGAGTTCAAAATGATCTTTTTTTTTTTAAGATTTTATTTATTTATTGGACAGAGAGAGCACCAGCAGGGGGAGCAGCAGAGGCAGAGGGAGAAGCAGGCTTCCCGCTGAGCGGGGAGCCGGATGCATGCGGGGCTCGATCCCAGGACCTGAGCCGAAGGCAGAGGCTTCACTGACTGAGCCACCCAGGCGCCTCCAAAATGATCTCTAGAAAGCTTCCTGGGTCACCTTTTACCAATTCAAAAACTAGGTAAATAAGAGGACAGAGGGAGTCTTTTTCCTGCCTTTCCCACATGAGATACGCCAGGGGGTATAGCAGGCAAGGTGAAGTGACTCCTTCTAAAGTTGTCACAGCTAATAAATGAGAACAACTAGAATTGGAATTGCACCAGTTTGCAGTCCCTCAAATTCATGGATCCAGGCATTGAGCATCAACAAGTACTATCAGAAAGGAGCAAAACTCAGCCAGCCCACCTGCTGAGCAGAGAGCACAGCCCACTTCCAACCTTGCAGAGAGGAGCTGATCCGAGTCTGCTGGAGCCTCTGGCCCCAGCTGCTGATCTGTAGGAGCACCCCCCGCCCCGGGGAGGGCGGGGAGGGAGGGAGAGGAATGTGCTGACCGGCACCATCGTGTGCAGTCAGCAAAACTCAGACTGAGAAACTCCAGGGGTCAACAGCCCCAGCTCTTCAATAGAAATCGGAAAGAAAAGAGATGGGGAGGAAACCTGTAGGTTAAAGGAGCTGAAAAGACATTACTGTGTTTTTAATTTATTTAAATTCACTTTAAAACACGTAGCATATTCTTAGTTTCAGAGGTAGAGGTCAGAGACTCATCGGTTGCATGCAACACCCAGTGCTCATCATATCACATGCCCTCCTTAATGCCCGTCACCCGGTTACCCCATCCCCTCACCCCCCTCCCCTCCAGCAACCCTCAGTTTGTTCCCTGTAGTCAAGAGTCTCTTACGGTTTGTCTCCCTCTATGATTTCGTCTTACTTTTCCCTCCCTTACCCTACGTTCCTGTTTTGTTTCTTAACTTCCACATGAGTGAAATCATGGTATTTGTCTTTCTCATCATTTCATTTAGCAAAATACCCTCTAGTTCCAGCCACATCATTGCAAATGGCAAGATTTCAATTTTTTGATGGCTGAGTAATATTCCAGTGTGTATATGGACCACATCTTCTTTATCCATTCATCTGTCAATGGACATCTGGGCTCTTCTCATAGTTTGGCTATTGTGGACATTGCTGCTATAAACATTGGGGTGCAGGTGCCCCTTCAAATCACTATGGTTGTATCCTTTGGATAAATACTTAGTAGAGCAATTGCTGGGGTCATAGGGTAGCTCTATTTTTAACTTTTTGAGGAACCTCCATACTGTTTTTCAGAGTGGCTGCACCAGTTTGCATTCCCGCCAACAGTGTAGGAAGGTTCCCCTTTCTCCGCAACCTCGCCAACATGTTGTTTCCTGTCTTGTTAATTCTAGCCATTCTGACTGGTGTGAGGTGATATCTCATTGTGGTTTTGATTTGTATTTCCCTGATGGCAAGTGATGTTGAGCATTTTCTCATGTGAAAGACATTACCGTTTTCGTTAAGTAGGCAAGAGTGAACCAGTGTCTAGGGATGCACATGTGATAAAGCCACAAAGAACACAGGGAGAGTGGGTATGGGGACGGGGCGGGGGGAAGGCTGTGCCTGGGATGGAGCAGGAGGGGTTTCTGGGTGGCTGGTGTGGTTAGTTTTAGGTGTCAAGGTGCAGTGAGCCATGGCGCCGTTATCTGGTTGATTACTCTGGATGTTGTTGTGAAGGTGTTCTTTGGATGGGATTAACATGAAAATTGGTGGACTTTGAGTAAAGCAGGTCACCCTCCATAATGTGGGTGGGCCCCATCCAATCAGCTGAAGGCCTGCGTAGAGCCAAGCCTGAGCTCCCCGGAACAAGAAGGAATTCTACCAGCAAACAGCTTCTGTCCTTGAACTGTAATTCCCCCCAACCCAGGTCTCCAGTCTGCAGACTTTGGACTTAAACTAAGCCTCCACAGTCATGTGAATCAATTCTTTAAGATAAATCTCTCCAGGGTGCCTGGGTGGCTCAGTTGGTTAAGCGACTGCCTTCAGCTCAGGTCATGATCCTGGAGTCCCGGGATCGAGTCCCACATCGGGCTCCCTGCTCAGCAGGGAGTCTGCTTCTCCCTCTGACCCTCTTTCCTCTTGTGCTCTCTCTCATTCTCTCTCTCTCAAATAAATAAAATCTTTAAAAAAAAAGATAAATCTCTCCAAATATATATATACATACACGATATTGGTTCTGTTTCTGCGGAGAACCTTGACCTAATACAGCTGGTAAAGTTCTAGTTCTTGACTTTGGTGATAGTTACAAGGATGTATGTTCACCTTATAATTCACTAAGCAACATGTATGTTTTGCATGGTTTTCTGTTTTTATAATGAAAAGGTAAAAAAGTAAAGTATCACTTGCATATAGGTATGTTAATATAGAAAAAGAGGGTTCTTGATGAATACCAGATTGGTATTCAGGATTTACGGGGAGAAGAGATGTGCACGTTTTGCTCTGAATATTTCTGTGTTGTGACTTTGTGCGCGAGCATGTCTGTACATTTTGGGTAGAATTACAGGAAAAAAAAAATGCTGGTCCTAGTTGTGACACACATGGAAAGATCAACCTGATTAGAAACTGAACAGAAGAGGACTTAATAGGAGGGACAGACAGCCCACTTCCACTGGGGGCCTGCTGGATCCACGGGAGGAGAAGAAAAGCCAGGGCACTATGACTTAAGGAACTGTCATTTATTTGAGAAACAAAACACAGCTACTCTTAACGTTTAGAACCATGAATATTCAAGCTTCTGTATTTATTAAACAGATAAGTATACTTTCATTCTACAGAGAGGACCCAGAGAAGCAGGACCACAAGAGTCATCAACAATTCATAAGAACACAGGCACAGAGCTTTTTGCCACCTGTATCTTGAGGCCTCCTAAGACTTCCTTTCACAAATCTCCTTTTCAGTGTCTGCTTTTCTTTGATCATCAGCCAGCCCTCAGGTTTGCCCGTCACTGAACATTAGTGATAACACACAGTAGGCTTCTTGTACTTGTCACCTAAAACCCTAGAGCCCCCCCAAGTCTCTAGGACAGTAAGAGTTCTTTTCCCTGAAGTCATGCGATTAGCCAGAAGGCCCACCTCACTGAGAAAGGATAATCTGTGACGAAAAGTGGACCCAGTAGAAACCAAAGTATCACCTGGAATTTGTCACAGACATAACCCTACTGGCCAGCGTCCCAACTTCTAGTCCTTAACTCCAAACTTCAAAGGCATCGATCGCTGCTAAAGAAAACCCGTTTCACGACGTAAAGACAGGCGGTCATCAGGGCGAGCGCTTAGGTGGTGTTCCCTGCTTTCTCTGTCGCTATCCATCTAAACAGCATTGGGCTCTATGGCTTATTTTTTAAGAACAGCATCACTGAAACGAAAGGCGCAAACCACACAATTCCACTTAACGTGTACAATTCGGGGGCTTTTTGTGTACTCAAGAGTCGTGCAGCCATCCCCACAATCCAGGTCAGAACACTTTCAATCACCGCAGAAGATCTGCATGCCGCTCAGCCATCACTACTTCCCCGTTTCCCGCTCTCCCCACTGCCTGGCGCCCCTCAGCTGCGCTCCGTCTCTATGGACTGGCTTATTCCAGACGTCAGCTGTAAACAGGATCCTAGAATGCGTGGTCTTCGGTGCCTGGTGACTTGGCTCAATATCCTAACAGGCATCGGCACTTCGTTCCTTGTCCTTTCTCTAGGATATTCCACTGCGTGGATGTAGCTCGTGTTACTGACTCGTCTTTAGCCCCTCGTGAGTCCGTCCCCGTGTGGGGCACCGGGCCGAGGGAAACAGTCAGCCAGGCAGCCTCTGCCCCCCAGGAGCTGAGACACCCAACCCCCCGACCCGGCAAAGGCAGACCCTGACACTAGCCATGACCGATGCAAAACAACGCAAGACAGACGGGGGAGAGGACTTTCCATGGGGGGGGGGGGTGGTGGCAGGAGGAAGGTGAAGAAGGTTCAAGGGCGAAGTGGCACTTCAGACACATCCTGAGAATCTATCCCATGAAGGGAAAGGCACTCTGTGGGGGCGAGGGGACCAGCAGGTGGCAAAGGCACAGGAGGGTGAAAAGTCCGGGAGCACAGAGGAGCAGGAAGCAGGGGTGGGGGCCAGGGGGGCCGCTGTAGGCAGGAGCAGCAGGTGCCAAGTCAGGGGCCTGAAGTTAATGCTCAGGTTCAGTGATACATCTTTTTTTTTTTTTTAAGCCCTGCCCATTGTTGATAAGTAAGATACAAAAACAATCAAAAATCATAGTATTTCTTAAAAATAGTTTTCCATTTGGGGCTTCCATCCCTCCCTCTTCGATAAAGGTTCCAGCTTCCAGTTCCTCAGAACCCTTCACTGTCTGTGGAAGCCCCTCGTCAACCTCCTGGCTCCTGGAAAACAAATGAGCCCAAAAACCTCCTCAAAAAGCAAATATTACCTTTCTCAACACTGAGCTTTACCCAGGCCAATGTGTAGTTTTATTGGAGCGGCACACAGGACCTGGAGGAGGCTGGGGGAGGAGGGAAGGGCCCTGGAGGGTGGGTGGCCCGGGGGTGGCCCGACCGCATCCCCCGGCAGCGCCCGGAGCCCCTGGGGGCGGCCTCCTGCCGGCTCCCCATCTTGCAACTGGGATGAGCACACATTGTGAGGGGCAGTGTTCACACGGGGCAAAGCATCAGGAAGGCGGTGTTTCAGTAGTAATGAAGGCAAACCTTGTCCATGGCCAACTGTATTCTGTAAGAAGCAGGAACAAGAAGTTGGTGAACCACGTCCCATCTGAAGAAATGACCCCAAACCTAATCCAACCCAGAACAGGTGGTCGTTGAGGGCAGACCCGCCCGATGGGGATCATGGAGGCTGCGTCCAGTTTGAATTCCTCCACCGCGAGAGGGAGCTGCTGGTGGGAGGACCGCTGTCCAGGGGCAGAAAGGGCTAGAAATGCCGCTCCCGCCCACCTGCAAAAGGACACGGGGCCCGCATGCTGCGTGCGCATTTACCTGTCAATCGGATAAGGCCGCTCACAAAGGTTGACCAGCACGTACAAGTGTCTCAGAGCATGCTCGTACTAGGGGCGGACAAACCAAAGAGACACAGACCTCACCATCTCACCACACCAACCACTCTTGACTCGGGGATATCCTACTTTCGTGGTTACGGGGGCAAAGCCCCTTGACCTGTGGTTCTTGACCTTCTTTGGCTCAGGGACTCCCCCTCCCTACCTTTCAGTAATCTGGTGAGATTTACGGGCTTCCTCCCGCGAAAACGGCCCCCCCCGCCTGGGGGCGGGCAAGCCTCCTAGAGCATGTGGCCGCCAGCTCGGGCCTCCTGAGGGCCCGCGGTGACCCTGCTCCCCTCTCTTACCTAGGACCCCCCCACCACCTTGCCCACCTGGCTTTTGGCTCTGGGAACCCCATTCTGGGAGGGACGCAGGGAGGAGAGAGGATGGGAAGCGGATGCCAAGCCAGATGGCCCCGGCAAGGACTGAGAGAACCCGGAATGTGTATCTTGCAAACCCTTCGGGGGAATGTGAGAACTCTCAGGGGCAGGAAGGAAGAGAACCGCTTTGTGTGATCCCAGAGGGCAAAACAGTTAACACCGGAAGACAAAGCACTGATTAAATAAGGGGGACATTTTTTATTTTCATGTAAGAAAAACATTTTCCTTACAAAGTTAAATAAAAGAAAAAACACAATGGAGAGCTTCCAAATATTGGAGAGCCACCTCCAAAGTGCCCGGTACCCCATCTTTGGAAGTATTCAAGCACGACCGGCGTGCACACCACGGCCCGAAAGAGCTTTCTACAGTGATGGAAATGTTCTATCGAATTCTCCAATTCGGCAGCCACTGGCCACACGTGGCCACTGAACACCCGCGATGTGAATTCAGGCAGCCTTTCAAGGCAAGTGACTACAGTAGGGAAGAACACAGCTCTAAAGCAGGAGCTGGCAAACTTCTTCTGAGAGGGGCCAGACAGGAAATATTTTTGGCTCTGCGGGCTGCATGAACTACTCGATTCTGCTAGAGCGGGAAAGCGGCCACAGAAACTATGCCACGGTTAGAACATGGCTGGGTTCCGATGAAACTATTTCTAAAAACAGGCTGTGGGCAGGATGGGGTCTGGGGGCTAGTTTGCTGACCCCTTCCCTAGAAGGCTCCCGGCATCACATGGTGCTGACCACAGACACCGTCCAGCCTGACGTTCTACTAGGGCCTGACTTCAACAATAAATCCTGGGGAGGGGTCAGAAGAGACCGGGGTGACGGATGGGGTGCGGCAGGGGAGCAGAGTCATGACTGGTAAGCTCCTACCCACTGCACAACTGACTGTGTCTGGGGCCAGGATTCATGGTCCGTGAGTCTGGATGACCCTCCTCCTGTCCCCATCAAAGGCCTCTGAGTGAGTGCACTGTCTTCTGAGCCTAATGGAACCTTCTACAAGGCCAGGCCCCTCATGTGATTTCCAGCAGCTGATATTAATTTAGCTTTGGGGGTCTAAGAACGCAGGGAAGGGCTCCGTGGGCCCAGGGAAGGCGGCGTGCGGAGGCCGGCGGCCCCGGGCCCCGGCCTTACCGTGGAGGAGTGCCAGTTGAAGCAGTGTGTGCGGAAGTGCGACACGGCTGCCTGGTAGCAGGCGTGCGCCCGGAGCTCGGCTCCCCTGGACAGTAGCCTCTCCGCCTCAGCATCCGAGCTCGCGAGCAAGGAGACCATCTTCCGCACTGACTTCTGGATGACGTGCCTCGCCTGTGGAGACGCACAACTTCTCAAAATATACCTTATTTTAGGCAGTCTCTCTTAGAACCCTGGATTAGTTAGAAGCTCGTTCAAAGTGATCTCTTCATGGGCTTCTAACCCGGTATGTTAAAAGAGATGCCAAAAGGGGTGGCTGGGTGGTTCAGTCGGTTAAGCGTCTGCCTTCGCTCAGGTCATGGTCCCGGGGTCCTGGGATCGAGTCCCACGTCCGGCTCCTTGCTCAGCAGGGAGTCTGCTTCTCCCTCTCCCTCTGCCCCTCCCCCTGCTCGTGCTCGCTTGCTTGTTCACTCTCTCAAATAAATAAAATCTTTAAAAATATAAAATAAAATAGATGCCAACAGAGGCATTCTGCAGGAGGCAAGAGAGGTGTGTGAGAGACTTCTCTAACAGCCAGAAACCTCTAGAAATAGCCTGCCTTTTCAGGGTCTTCTGACACGATGGAAACATTTAAATCTAACCACCTGAAGAGCAGCCCTGGCCCACTCTGAGAACAGGGGTGGGTGTAGAAATTGTGCCCCACAGTAGATTGTTGTCCCCTGACTGGTGCTGTGTGTTCACGGGCACATTTGCCTATCTATTCCAGAAACCACCAGAAAGAGGGACACAGATGGGGGCATCGCTTCCTTCTCAAACGATGTGTAAAAAAATACCCACTACAAAATGGGTTCATTATTGTTATTTCTAAATCAGTTAATATTTTTAAAATCTCACTGTCATTTCTAATGCAGCACATATCACCATAACGCCACACAAACAAAGGTACTTCGGAATCAAAATTTTAGTAGGAATATAAAGAGGTCCCCGACTAACAGACTCACAAGTATGAGGACCTCTGTATTACACTAAGACCAGCAAAAAATATACCAGATGTGGGGCACCAACCGCCAGGATTATTAGAGACAGGAATTTAAATCGGATCACAGAGATGTGTTATCTTTCCTAGAAAACACAGCCTAATGCTCCCGAATGCCCGAGTGCTGTGCTGGTGAGGCTGACGAGTCACCACAGAGCGGGCTCCGCTGAAGGAGACAGCCTCCGCCCGGCAGCCCACCAACTGCTCGCTCTCTGGGTGCTTCTAGACGCACAGCAAGAACTGGAAACGCGAATCTGCCAGTTCCAAACAATTGGATGAGCTACTGAAAACAAACTCAGTAATTGTAAAAGATCGCTCAAACATTTTAAGGAAGAATTTTAGGCTATGACTACGATTTCCTAAGGCCACAGAAACTTTGTGTGTTGCTTTTTTTTTTTAAACCATGATTAGCTAATAACTCACCAAGCGGCGATATTAAAATGTTTTCTAAGCAACCAGGCATAAAAGAGGGCAACGCCCACATGCCACAACTTGTTGGCAAGATACAGGAGAGACAGCCCCCAGTCCTCTGCTGCCTGCTACCAAAGAGGTCAAGGTCAGCTGACTAATGGAGAATGAAGAGAGCCACTGCTCTGCTCACTGCTTCTCTCTTACACAGAGCACAAAGGCTAGTCCCCTTTCCCACAGACTCCCACGTGGCAGGAAGAGGGGTGGCCCTGGAGTGCTGTCACCTAGCTCCAAGCGGTGCTGAGTAACTGTCAGCAGGCAGAGACCAGGGCCACGCACGCGGCCCGGTAAGGCTGGGGGCAGTCGTGGGAAACGGTTCCTTCAAGGGCTACTTACATCCAGATGCCTCTGGATCTGCTCCACGAGATTCCTGGACTCCTGCAGATCATTGGTGCTCATCAGCTTCCTTTTCAAGATGGTGAGGGGCACCTCAGGGCTCGGGGTGAGGTCAAGGTGTTTGACCGGAGGCAGGGAGATAGGAGAGCTGGCTTTGTGTTTCATGCCCTGAAACTGCATCACTTTCATGGTGGAGATGGACTGAGGAGAGAAGGAGAGAGCCAGACTGAGTGGCAGACGTGCCAAATGTCTCCTGGGTCCTGCCTCTTTGTGCGAGGCTCACAGTTCACGCCACATGGTTTCAGGACCACCGCAGGGCCATGGGCGCAGCCTGGAAACACGCACCTGGCCCTCAGTAGAGGGCAAGAAGACACATCCAAGCACCTGAAATCTACCAACGATGAACTTTGAAAATACCTGGCTTCCTTTGCAGGAGAACCACTAATTCTGTCACCTATGGAAGGCAATCACCGCTCCCCAGTCACGCAGAGCTTGGACCAGGGTCCTTCCAGCCAGGGGCGACCCTGGGTCGTGCTGCCCTACCCATGCTCACCTGCCGGGCCCCAGCACCCGGGAGCAGGAAGGCGCAAAGCACAGGTTAGAGTTGCGGTCAGGGTCCACTGAGCGGGACAGAGCTAAAGCCACAGTGGGGCTGGCTGACGGTCAGGGCCAAACAGGCACGTCAGCCAGGCTCTGTCTGCCCTCACTGGTCACTCCAGACTGGACCCCAATCGGAGGGAAAAAAATGCTACAAGCAATCCTGTTCTTAAACCACGCAACAGTTGGGGCCCCTGGATGGCTCAGTCCGTTAAGCGTCTGCCTTTCGCTCAGGTCATGATTCCCCAAGTCCTGGCATCGAGCCCCGCATCGCGCTCCCGGCTCAGCGGGGAGCCTGCTTCTCCCTTGGACCCTCCCCAACAATAATCTAAAAAGTTCTAAAACAAAAAATAAAATACACACAAATATAGAGCAACACGTAATGTTTGGAAACGATCCATCATAGCTCGTCAACCAAGACCAGGAACAGCCAGTGCAGAAGAAATCACAAGGCGCACAGGAAGCCCGGGGCAAAGAGCTGCGGCCAGGTACTCTCTCCCGCTTCAGTTCCACCGCGCCCCCCACCCCCACGCAGCCAGGGCCATGCCACCTCTGATCCTGCCTCCTCCGAGTCACCTTCCCCTTGCCTTCTCTCTGCTCCCTGCTTCCCCACCACCACTCAGAAGCCTGGCCAGGCCCGTGGCATCTTGAGGGCACGTCTCGTGGCCTGTGCCTGCCCTGCTGGCTCCCAGGCTCCAGTCTACACTCTGCCCTTGAGGAGCTGGAGGGTTGACTGGCTCACAGGGGTCTTCTAGAAGGACAATGCTTGCATCCAAGGAACAGATCTCAGATGGTGTCAGGCCGCCTGGCGAATGGCATTTGGTCACATGGACAGGTGCACAAACCACCTCCTCTGCACATCTCAAGGGTTAGCCCCTGCCCCCCGTGGTGACACATGAGGCCCAAGCCTTCAGCAGCCACCTGCTGTGACCTCTGTCCAGACAGCCCTGATAAACTTACCCATTTAACCACCTAGGTCCCTTCTGAACAGAGTTGGGGGGTGGGGTGGAAGTCCCTAAATTCTAGCCCAAAGGTAAAGGTAACCCATGTGCCAGGCCTGCTCAGGGTTTCTGATGCACGACCTTCTTTAATTGCATGCTAAAGCTCTGACCAAGGAAGAAATGGAGATTTGGAGAAGCAGCTTGTCCCAAATCTCACAACCTTGCGAGAGTGAAGCTGGCAAAATCCAGGGCCCGGGCATGGTGCCCAGGATGCAGAGCCACCCCGCCTCTTGTCACCAAAAGATGCACGTTCCCGGGGAGTCGGCCTGAAGCTCCGCCACCAGCAGGAGCAGGGGGCTGCCCTCCTCACCTTGTTCCCGTACTGCATGACGTGGCTGGTGTTGGTGTGAGACTTCACCAGCTGGTACTGCCTGTGGAGGGTCTCTCTGGTCAAATCCTCCTGCAGAGAGGAAAACATGGAAGTCCTCTGACCATCAGAGCCGGCGGCTGGGCCTCAGCAGTGCAGCCGGACCCCTGCGGGCTCACCACGTCTGAGTCCTCCATCCAGTTGACGCTGTACCAGTCCCCCAGGTACGTGGATCTCTTCTCGTCATAGTAACAGGCGTAGGATGACTCCGTTGGGTTGGCAGCGGTGGTCGCATAAACTAGTAGGGATTCAAGACACCTGGCCGTCACACTCTGTTCCCCACTGTGGGTGGGTCCCACCCGCAGCGTGAGCCTTTCCGTCTTCCCTAGTGAAATCAAAGCTACCAGCATGGGGAAGGCATGAGGATACAACTGTACCCAGCCCTGTGAATTTGGTTACAGTAACTGTCTAAAATCAAACGTGGAAGGAAGAGAAGCTGGTTGATAGGCACTTTCTGTGGTAATAAGCAAGCACACATGCTCAGCAGGATGCCAGCCTATTTTAGAATAACACTGAGAGATTTTAATAGCTCTGGAAACTCGAAGAACATGTACCTAATTTCATTTTCAGAGAAAGTTACTATCTACAGAACGAACACTTTGAACATACGTAATAGCTACCATTTACTATCTAGCTACTGTGGGCTCAGAATCGTGCTGAGCAAACGTTAGCACTTAAAATGCACCACTCCCCACAGACAGCCCCAGTATACAGATAGGGATAACTGAGGGTCCAAGAGGGTACTGCCCACGATCAGACAGCCAGCAGGCAATGCATCGCAAAGGACCAAAGCTGGTCCAAAGACTACGTGACCTCGGACTTAAGTAGCTTCACCAAAACCTGGAAGAGGACCGTGAGGCTCCCATCAGATTCTTTATTCCTGGACCACTAATATTGAAGAGAAGTCCAGAGCTGCCCACAGATAAGCCCTCTCCCCCACTTTTGTGCACCAGGCTGCCCTAGACCCCTACTTATATAGACCACTTGGCTCTTCCCATTGGCAGAATCGGAGAATGACCAACTGCGCTGCCAAGCAACCTGCTCACCCAGCCTGGCTCAGAGGCCAGTGCTCCCACCACCTACCGTTGATGTCGGCGGGCAGGTGCCTCATCATGGACCCAGACTCACAGGCTTCAATGTAGAAGACCATCTGCGAGGCAAACAAGACAGGCGACCTCACACCCTGGCCAGGCACAGACTGTGCAGGGATGTCAGTCTGGCTCTGCCCACTCTCCTCACGCATTCTTAAGGATCTTTTACTCTTGCTTCTGGGAGAGATCTCTGCTGGGAAGGCTACAGAAGCTGCTGTCATACAAACCAGAAGGACTCCAATCTATTCATCGCTAACAGACTAAAATGATCTATCATTTGAAATGATGCAGAGCAATTGGTGCCACAGATAATGCTAAGGAGAACTGTTCCACCATCCAACACAAGAGAGACAGTGTGGCAGGCCAATTTCCACATTTCTATCCCGGACGTGCTCAGGCCATTCAGTCTGTATAAAGGCTGCCAAGGCGGGGGGTAGGGGGTTGGGTGGGGGGAGTAAGGGCCAAAGTGAAATAAGATGGTGGTATCTTCCTCCCAGTGACTCCCAAACTGGAGTCAATGCTAAGAACAGTGGTCTTCAAAGTGTGGTCCCTAGATCATTAGCGTCGGTGTCAACTCAGAAAGGCAAATTCTCAAGCCTCTCTCCCCAGGCCTCTGAGTCAAACTCTGGAGGTGGGGTCCACACCCTGTTTTAATAAGAGCTCTAGTGATTCTGAGCTAACTAATAGCTAATGCCCTAGAATCACTAAAGGTGAATCCTGGAAAACCAGCGGTCAAGACTGATCAAAGGACACTCTCCAGAAACAGCAATTTGGAGTTGGGGGCGGTCACGGGGTGGTAGGCTCTGCGTCTCCTACCTTCCTCACACTCCTCCCTGCCAGGCCACCCCAAGTGCTGACGTTACCTTTTGGTACATCTTGTGTTCATACATGTAACGGATGGTCTCATTCAGGTCCTTCACATGAAGCTGCAAGGGAAGAATATTGACATTTAGACCAACATATCAAGAGAAACCATTTGCTAGATAACACACTAATAAAGCCCTAATGCTGCTTTGTAAATTCTTAGTTATCAGCCCTTAGAAAGAATCACAGTGACCAGCAGCATTATCCCAAAGTGGCGCCTTGCGTGTTTTATTCAAATATTTCAAGGGGGGGAAGAGAATGAGCTTTCTCATTCATTACTTTGTCTGGAGTATTCAGAGGCTATGTTCTATTACTGCATCTAATGCCACGTACCCGAGTCTGGAGACAGTTTACTGAGGCTGGGATATGAAGAGAAATGTAGGCAATACCTGAGATGCTTCTGGATAGGTTTCAAGCTGCTAAGCGTGGCCCCTATACTCGCCTGCCACACACAGAAACCAACCCTGGTAGAACATTAGAAATGCACATCACAGTCTGGATGTCGACACCAAGCTTTTGTTTGCCACTCTCCTACTTTGTCCTCACAATGTTAAGAAAAACTGGGGCGCCTGGGTGGTTCCGTCGGTTAAGCGTCTGCCTTTGGCTCGGGTCATGATCCCAGGGTCCTGGGATCGAGTCCTGCATCGGGCTCCCTGCAAGGGAGCTGGGAGCCTGCTTCTCCCTCTCTCTCTGCCTGCCACTCCCCCTGCTTGTGCTTGTGCTCTCTTTCTCTCTCTAATACATAAATAACATTAAAAAAACAAACAAACAAAAAAAACACAAAAAACAATGGGAAGGAAAACTCACATCGTCATTCGGAAACACCAGTATACCGGTGGCTCCGTGATCGGTGAAGTAAACGAACACGTGGTCCCGGGGGCCGCTGTCGAGAGAGGGTGACAGGCAAGGGGAGTCAAAGTTGACCAGTTCCTATTCCCATTTCTCTGAAAAGCCGCTGGAAGAAGAGGATCGAGGACAAGTCTCCCAACCAGACACAAAGAGGAACACAGCACCTGCTGTCAGCCCTTGCCCTCCACTCCCGCTGAGGGTTACCCTGAGCCACAAGGTACACCAAAGAGCTTCAAAGCCACGAACTATGGCCAGGGAGGAGGGGACATCTGCTGGGTAGTGGGTCATATGGACCAGCTGTGATGCAAATGGTGGGGACCTCTGGTAATCGCGCCTCACACCGGCAGCCACACTTTCCAACCAGATCTCCCCCAAATGAGGAAGGAAGCCAGGATACACAGAGGAACACAGTCCTTCAGCTCTGACTTCTTCCCTTCTGGGCCCCTCAGCCTGCACACTGTTGGCCCACCTTCTGCCCTGCCCACCCGCCCACACGCCTCCTCACACCTGCCCCTGTCCTCTAGCTGCAGGGGAACGGCGCCATTTGCCAAGCATCTGAGACGGTCTGCAGATATCGCTAACCCATACCGCTAACCCACAGCCAGCCGCAAGCAGTGGGCTGGTTTTCCCCGGTCCGAAGGTTAGCGCTGTGCGTGTGAATGCGCTCCTCTCCCCACTGGGCTGACGTGAAACATGGCAACCTGACTGGCTCCAGCCTGACCGGCTCCAGCCTGACCGGCTGCGGGGCTCCGTGCCTGTCTCGGTGCATCCCGCCGGCCGTGGAACATACCAGCACGAGGAGCCGTGAACAGCACAAAAGCAGTGGGTTTAAGTGACAGAGAACATTTCATTAACAATAATGAGGGACCCTGGCTCCTCGGGTGAGTTTGGGACAGAAACGGGCTCCCCAAAAGAGCCACCAGCTCTGCGCAGCCTGTCTGAAGTCAGGACAAAGTTGCCGGCTCTGTCACTTCTCAGCAGGAAACAGGCCAAGAGTAAAGAGCACCACCTGTTTCGGGTGTCAAGTCATTCAGGAAAGTGTGGGAGCCATAAAACGGCCATTACCTCTTCAAGACCTTTCCAGATCCTTTGCCCTTCACCGCTTCCTCATCGCCTCTCAACACGGCGAGGAAATTTTGTGGGGTGACATCCTACAAAGAATTGGAAGTCAAAATCAGATGCAGCTGTCGTTCCAAATCCGAGCGTTTGCGGAGTCCGTAGCAGACCTGGGCTAGCAGTCCACATGTCTTCAAGGCTCCAGGTTTAACAGCAAAGACTTTGGAACCAAGTAAGACCCAAAGCAAGGCCAGTGTTTCTGGGGCCTGTGCATGACCCCTTGTCAAATATTGTCTTGCCTTTGGCTGATGGCAACTCAGCGAGCCTGCCATTCCTTTCTGACCATTACAAAGTCCATGTGGGGAAACCCAAGGATGCTGGAAGGTAGGGACAAACAGCAGAGGAAAAGCGAAGCCCCACAGAGGCACAGCAGAGAGGGAGGAGAAGCATCAGCCCTGGGCCTCCCTTTGCGTTCAATATGCTGCCTACAGGGTCAAATCCCAAGGACACTTGATGTCCTTAAAGATTAAAGATAACATTGGGGGCGCCTGGGTGGCTCAGTCGATTAAGCATCTACCTTTGGCTCAGATCATGATCTCAGGGTCCTGGGATCAAGTCCCATGTCAGGCTCCTCGCTCAGCGGGGAGCCTGCTTCTCCCTCTCCCTCTGCCACTCCCCCTGCTGATGCTCACTCTCCCTGTCAAATAAATAAAATCTTAAAAAAAAAAGATAACACTGATGTCTGATCATTTAAAAAAAGCAAAATAGAAAAGTATAAAGGGGGGGGAAATCACCAAAAATTCTACCACCTAAGATTCCAGACATTTCCTTGTCTCACTATATAAAAATAATTTCATAAAAATGGGATCATCGATATTACATGTATGATGTGTTCAATTGAAATGTACTTGAATTTAAAAGAAACTGAAAGAATTGCTGAATTTCAGATAAATGCTTCTTCACCACCAGGAATATTAGTTCCTACACGACCTCTCTGAAATCAGGAAAGAGACTACGGCAAACCACAAGGCAGCATCATTACGGGGTTTTTAAAAAATGTGTTAATTGATACAGCTTGAATCGACTGGGAGGGATATAATTTGGAAGTGATAAACAATAATATTAATGAAAAACGATCTCAGCGAAATCCAGGGATGCTCTGCACCAGGGCCAGTGCTAAGAAAATTGATTTTCAGAAAAAAACACAGATCTATAATTGGATTAGCACCAAGACCTCAAGAAAATCAGGTTTTACTGAAGGAAATCTATTATCAGGCTTAACGTATAAGAAGACTAGAAACTAAAAATCAGTAGACTACAACTTCTTTCTAACTTTTTTTCCCCGTTTTTTTCCCTCGGCTTTCTTACAAAACTCTCAGAAATTCCTCCTCAAGCACGAATCTTACTAGAAACATGAAGCAATGACCAGAGATCAGTCTAGTGAGGTTCTGACCCTGGAAATGCAAGAACGAGGGGAGAGCCATCTCCGGAATGGAAACAGACCATGCTGCCTCCAGCCCCGCACCCCTCACCTCGCCCGTGTAGTCCTTCGGGACCCCCGCGTACACGTCCGAGCCATTGGGTCTGTTGATCACAATTCCTGGTGTGGGGTTGCTGAAAACCAAAGGACACCTGTGAAGCATGCAGTGTGACGTGCCTCTGAAATCTCTCTTCAAAAACATGCCCCCATTGTGTATACAAGTAGTAAGCGACTGTGTTTGCCAAAGACGTGTCTCATCTCCTGCACGGTCACCCGTGTGCCAGGGGCTCTGGAGCTGGGGGGTCTCAGGCAGCCCAGAGGCCTCGAGTTCTCGGTGGGAGCGGTTAAGGGAGGTCCCGGAAATGGAGGACAGGTGTGCCTGGCCTCCTGCTGGGAACCACACAGCATCCCGGGGGCAAGATCTGAGCAAAAGACCTCCCAAAGCAAAACTACTTACAGAGAAAGCCAGGACGAAAGACAAGACTTTAATACAAGAGCTAGGCGTGAAAGCTCAGAATGGATTATGAGGTGATCCTGGGATCACCCCTCCTTGGCTCCAGCACGGAAAACAAGGAGTGGAGAGACTCGCACCAGTAAAGTGTGGTAGCCACAACCTGCTGCCCCCGATTTCCTTAAGAAATCAGAGAAGCAGGCGTGAGAGAACTGGTTGTAAAACTGAATTCAACAAATAATAAAAGCAAATAAGCACAGAAAGAAGGGTCATTGGATCTAAGCTACAAACAAGAGTCTCCTAGGCGCAGGGCCACAGAGGCAACCCGTCCCCCCAACCCCGCCGGTTCAGAGGTCAGGAACAAGCACTGCAGAACTCAGTGGCGAGTTCTCCAAGCCCAGAAGGAACTTACACTTTAAACTCTTCCAGAGCACCGGCCCCAAACACCCTTCAGCACCCAACTCCTATGCTACCGCCACTGGCAAGGTGCCCCGAGCTATGTTCCAAGTTCTACAAGAAGCAGCCCCGTGGGATTTCATCTGCGAGTCTTTTTACATTCTAAGGTCTGCATTCTAACACGAATTCTAAAGATTCCTGTGAGTCTGTATGCATTTAAAAAAAACATATCCTTGGGTGCACCTGGGTGGCTCAGTCGGTTAAGCATCTGACTCTTGGTTTCGGCTCAAGTCATGCTCTCAGGGTCCTGGGATCGAGCCCTGAGTCAGGCTCCATGCTCAGCGGGGAGTCTGCTTGAGATTCTCTCCCTCTGCCCCCCCACTGCCCCCACTCATGCATGCGCACTCTCTCTCTAAAAGAAATAATCTTTAAAAAAAAAATATATCCTGAATTCACCACCAAGTTCAAAACGCTGCCTACTTACTCTTCAGAGTTGGCTATGTCATCATACATCATCACAATGATCTGTTCATCAGGAATCCCGTTTCGGTGAACAATCTGGTAGGCGTGGCATGCATCCGCCTGGGAGAAATGATTTTGTCAAGTGTTAGATTTTGCCCAGAAGGAGGCCAATTTTGGAGTTCTAAGGAGCAACATATTCTTTCTCATGGAAGACATGCTTTGAATCATTCCCTATGGGTCAGGTATTTAAATTATTTTAAAACACATACATTAATATTTTTTCAACTCAAATTTTTAAAAATTCCCCACCTCGCCCATTACCCAAACTCTCAATTCATCCGGCAGTTGGTGTAGATGTAGACCACACACAGACATGCACGCACACACAGCACCACCACTTGGGTGACCAGAGCCTCAAAAGGTCCTGGATAATTTATTTCCCTTTTCCACACCCTATAAAAGTCTCCTGAAAGCACTGAGTTGGGTCCCTAGAACAGAATGATGAACTGCAGATTCAAAGCAAAGCTTACCTCTGTATCAAACAGGATTTTTCTGATTCAAGTAACTTCAGCTGCCAAAGCTGCTGTTGAGTGAAAACTTGGAAGTTCAGCTCAGGAATTGAAAGGAGGAATGTACTAATGTACTCTTTAGTTTAAAAAAACTAACAGTCACCACAAGGGTGACAATATTAGGGATGAAAGATAAGCTTTGTTAATGTAACTCCTTTTCCATAAAAGGGTGAAGACATTCTTCGCTTCCTTTTTCAGATGACATGCGGTGTACTCCAGGACATGGGAATCATTTGGGGACAAAAGGAAAAATATCCCCCAACTTTCTGCTTCTGTTTAATGGTCTTTCAAGAACAAAGACAAAGGGGCGCCTGGGTGGCTCAGTTGGTTACGTGTCCGACTCTGGATTTTGGCTCAGGTCATGATCTCAGGGTCGTGAGATGGAACCCACATCCTGGGCTCCATGCTCAGCACAGAGTCGGCTTGAGATTCTCTCTCCCTCTCCCTCTGCCTCTCCCTCTGCTTGTGTGCTCTCTAAAATAAATAAGTAAATCTTAAAAAAAAAAAAAAAGAACAAAGACATAAACAAACATGAAGAGGATAACGAGCTGAGCTATCTCTCTAAGGAAGAGAGCTTTAGGAACTGGACCTTCTACACCCATTACATTCTACACATCACTGAGCACGGCAGTAAAGCACATCAAGCATTAAAGCCAGGCAACACACACGGACTTCACAGCCATGAAGGGTGTTACTATGCAGTTACTGAATGTTGGGTGGGTGAATCCAGGGTGTGACACTCAGGAGCTGCTGGATGAGTGGATGACTAAAAAAATAATAAAAACTAATACCTGTGTTGACTTTCTAGTACCTGTCAGGCACTGGGCCAGGACTTTCTACGCATTATCTCATCTGATTCTCACAGCAACCCTACATGGTGAAGGTAATGATCCCCACTTTATAGAAAAGGAACCTGGAGCTTAGCGAGGTGAGGCGACCGGCCCGAATCACCCAGCTCAGAGTGACATATCTCCGGCACTCTGACTCCAGAACTTGACACAGCTTCACGCGGGAGCCACAGAGAAATCATGAAAGTCAGAGAAGCCTGGGGAGAGTGAGCAGCTGAAAATCTAAAGAAGTCATTTTAAAATAATTACTAAGTATTTCACATACACACAAATTGTTAGAAAGTTTAAATCTCCATTTCCATGGAATAATGAGAACCCTCAACACCAACTGTGGTAGGCAAGGAAACAGCCCCCAAAGATGTCCACATCCTAATCCCCAGAGCCTGTGACTAGGTTACACCACATGACAAAGGGGAATTAAGCCAGTGGATGGATTTAAGAAGGCTCATCAGCTGTCCCTAAAATAGGGAGGTTATCCTGGATTATTCTCCTGGATATTCTCCTGGATTATGACGGATGGGCCCGACGTGATCACAGGGGTCCTTGCACGTGACAGAAGGAGAAGTTGGTATCACAGGGATTCGGTATAAGAAAAGACTCAACCGTCTGCTGGCTTTGAACACGGAGGAAGGGGCCACAGGCCAAAGAATGAGGACAGCCTCTGAAAAGTCGGAAAAGGTAAGAACACGGCACCTCCTCCAGAGTCCCCAGAAAGAAACACAGCCTTTCTGACACCTGATTTAATATGTAAGACCCATTTCAGGTTTCTCACCTCCAGAGCTGTAACATAATAAATGTGTTAATCCAAGAAGCTTGTGGTGATTTGTTACAGCAACAATAGGAAACTAACCCATTGATGGAAGTTTACTGGGATTGGCACTACACTAGGGGAAAACACCTTCCCATTATCCAATCAAGTTGAAGCTCGTCCCCGCCAACCCAGTGATTCCTCTCCTAGTGAAACCCTAGAGAAACTCTACTCATGTGCAGTAGAGGATTACTCACAGCAAAAAACAAAACAAAACAAACAAACAACAAGAAATAACCCAAAGGACCATCAATAGTTGGAAAATTAAACGCATGTGCTCATATAATGGGATACCATAAAGCTCAAAGAGGTGGATGGAGGAATGAATGAAATACAATCCATGTTTCAAAACAGATGAATCTTAGGAACATAATGAGAAAAAGAGTAAGTCGCAGAAAAATACATTCAATATGATTACCGTTATATGAAGGCCAAAACAGGCTAAAGTAAACATTATGTTGTTTACAGTTAAAGACTCATATGGTGAAACCATAAAGCAAAGCAAAGGAATGACTGACAGAAAATTCAGGCGCTTACCCTCTGGAGGGAAGGGAGGGGGACTGGATCAGATAGGGGATAAGGTCTTAGTCATGTTCTTTTTTTGTTTTTTTAGTCTGACACAGGTATTCATTTTATTATGAAATTGCACACACGTTATATACACAGTTCTTTGCTTTTTCATTAAAAAAAAAAAAAAATGAAACCAATATGTCAGACTTCACCTACCCTAATGACAAAAGTGGAAGTGAGCAGGCACACCCACCCACTCCCCATGGTAGCAAGTCATTCTATTACTGATTCAGCAGAAGCCAGGTTCATTTAAAAAAAATAAAAACACTTAGGAATATATCTAATAAAAGTGTAAGACTTGTACACCGAAAATTCGAAAACGTTGCAGAGGGAAATTAAAGAAGATTCAAATGAATGGGAGACACCTCATATTCGTGGATCAGAAAACTTAATACTATTAAAATTAAAAAAATATGTATCAGCAGGCTTTTTTGCAGAAGCGGACGAGATGATCCTAAAATGTAAAGGAAATTGCAAAAATCCCAGGTTAGCCAAAAGTAGTTTTGAAAAAAGTTGAAGGACTTTCACTTCCTTTCGCATATTGAATGTATTATATACTGTATTCCTAAAATAAAGTAAGCTAGAGAAAAGAAAACATTACTAAGAAAATTATAAGGAAAACACATTTACAGTATTGTACTGTATTTACTGAAAAAGATCTGCATATAAATGGACCTGCACAATTCAAACCCATGTTGTTCAAGGGTCACCTGTACATTGGGGAAAGAACAGTCTTTTCAACAAATGGTGCTGGGACCGTTTGGAAATCCACATAAAAGGATGAACTTGGGTCTTCATTTCACACCATTTGCAAAAGTTAAACCAAAATGCATCACAGACTTAAATGTAAGGGCTAATACAATAAGACTTTGGAAGATAACTGAGAAAATCTTCAGGACCTTGAGTTATAACTGCCAAAGATGTTGAAGATATGACACCAAAAGCATGGTTTATAAAAGAAAAATATTAATACACTGGACATCAGCAAAATTAAAAACCTGAATGCTTCAAAAGACACCATTAAGAAAATGAAAAGACAAGTAACAGAGTAAGAGAAAACATTTGCAAAACACGTAATGAGAGAACTTGTATCTAGAATGTGCAGAGAACTATAGAGTACTGCAATATGACAATCAACCCAATCCAAAATAGATTTTGAACAACATTTCACCTAAGGTACACAAATGGCTAAAAAGCACATACGATGCTCAATATCATTAGTTATTAGGGAAACGTCAATTAAAACCATAAGACACCAATTCACAGCTAGACGGACAATAGCAAGTGTTGGCAAGGACGTTGAGAATCAGGAACCTCCTCCATTCACTGCTTGTGGGAATGTAAAACGGTGCAGCCATTTTGGGAAGCAATTTAACAGCTTCTTAAAAAGCTAAACATAAAGTTACCATAAGACCCAGCAATTCTATTCTTTCTGCCCAAGAGAAACAACATTTATCCGAAGATTTATAGAAAAATGTTCTTAGCAATATTATTCATAATAGGCAAAAAATGTAAACAACCCAAATGTCCATCAATTGGTAAATGGACAAATAAAATGTGGTCCATACATACTATTTAATATTCCTTGCCAATAAAAAGGAACAAAGTACTGACACACTACAACACAGATAAACTTCAAAAACATTATATTAACAGAAACAAAAGACTACATGCCAAATGGCTCCATTTATGGGAAATGTTCAGAAATGGCAAATTAGAGATGGAAGGCATATTTTTAGTGGTTGTCTGGCGCTGGGGGTGGGGGCTGCAAAGGGGCTGGAAGGATCTAACTGGGTAGACGGAAGTGTTCTGAAACTGATTTACGGTGCTGTTTGCACAACTTGGTAAATTTACTAGGAAATCATTGAGTTGTATACTTGAAACGGGCGAATTACATAAGCCATGTAAAATATGCTTCAATAAGGCTCTATGTTTTAGAAAGAGCAGGTTCAGCGTGTCCTGTGTTGGCGCTCTCCTCCACTATCTGGACTCCTCACCACCTTGACAGGCACATGCTTTTATCTCCATGTTGAAAATGGGGACAAACTCGGGAAGGGCTCAGAGAATCCAACACGGGTCTCCTGACCCCGACCATGCCTTGTGCCCTTTTTCCACAAGCAGCACTCTCAAAGTCAGGTCATGGCTCTCCCCTGGGTCCGCGGAGGTACTTGAGGTAGCCTCTAACTCTGTGACCTCAAAGGGGTTCTTTGTTAGACTCAATTCTACTTACTGGCACTCAAAACAAGTAAGAGTAGGGTTAAACCAAGTCAAATACTTCAGAAACAGAGTTGAAGGCCACTTGAATTACTTCCCTGGAACATATCTGGCCCATATGTATTTCCTCCTTAAAATGAGAAAAGCCTAGGGGGCAGCATGGGAAGGGGGTATTGAGCAAGACCACAAAGAAGGCAAAGCCCTCTGGACTACGGAACAGACAGGGCTGTGAGTCAGCTTGTTTCACAGCTGGCGCTGGGCGTTCGGACGGGCGTGCGGAAGCGTCCCGTGATGCCCTGATGTCAGCCACTGTCCGACACTGTCTTCTCCTGCTGCCTTCGCCTCAGGCCCACTGTCACCTAAATGAGGACGACCGCCTGGGACCCGGGCTTAAATTCAATCGCCACACTCCAGTCATGGTCCCCGTAAGGGGGCCCACTTTCCAGCCAGGTAAGGATCTGAGAAGGGGGCCTCACGGTCTGCTCACGGATACACACATATTATCACTTCCTGGTGCACGCTGAGCACTGTGAGGTGAGGCGGGGTTCTCTGTGGAGTTGCCTCACTGAGCCCACCACCGGTTCAAATGTTCCACAGGAGACTCAAAGGTTTAAAGTGAGATGGGGCGGGGGAGAGACAGAAAGCAGTGGTTGCGTGGGGCTGGGAGGGGAGCAGGGGCTGACTGCAAATAGGCACGAGGGAACTTCCCAGAATGATGGAAGTATCCTCAAACTGGACCGTGGCAATGCTTGCAGAACAGCGAAAATTTACTCAAACTCGTAGTTTGATACAGTTATCACAGGTGAATTGTAGGACATGTGAATGTATGCCTCCATAAAGCTGTTTTTAAGAAGTGGTGATTGCACACACTTTTTAAAAATCTATAAAATGAAAGGTGGTCTTTCTGAAATGTGATGACTCTGCCACTTGGCTCTCCATCACACCTCTTCCTCCCAATTCTAACAAATGCGGGTTCTAGGCTTCTCCCTCTCCACCTCAACTGAAACCCACTTATCTGCCTCCGGGCCCCCAGGACAATGTTCTTAAAGCTTCCAGAATGAGGTGGCGGCCCCCTTTCTCTCCAGACCGGGCCGGGGTGGGGGGGGCATCAGCATCCTGCAGCTCCCACCCCTGCCAACACACGGCAAACAACCTTCTCCTTGGGAACCCTACTGCTAGCCACTGCCTCAAACCCTCCCAACCCCCAGCCTCCCGGTGACCCCTGGCTCACATGTGCTGCTCCCTCCCCATTCCTGTCACCCCCATAGACCCCGTGTGACAGTGAACTTCACCAGCCATCTACTTCAGCAGCCGCCCCTGCTGCTCCACCTTAGCTCTTCCTCCACCACATGCTCAGACCTCTGTCCTGAAAGTAACCCTCTGGGACACCTGGGTGGCTCAGTCGTTAAGCGTCTGCCTTCGGCTCAGGTCATGGTCCCAGGGTCCTGGGATCGAGTCCTGCATCGGGCTCCCTGCTCAGCGGGAAGCCTGCTTCTCCCTCTCCCATTCCCTCTGCTTGGGTTCCCGCTCTCCTTGTCTCTCTCTGTCAAATAAATAAATAAAATCTTAAAAAAAAAGAAAAAAAAGAATTCTGAAAGTAACCCTCCTCCAACCCCAGTTCCAATGCTGCTTGCACTTTGGGACCTCTCCCTCTCTCCTCTGCCCTGGCCACTGCAGGATGCTGCCCTCCCAAGGCCTTGCCCCGCACCACCTCCCCCCCCGGCCCAGGACACTGGATGCAAAGCATCCACCAGCCGTGCCTCAGACCAACCCCCCTCGCAGTCATCCATTAATCCCAGCCAAAGATGGAAAACAGAGAAACCCAATTTGATCAAGACAAAACATGATTTAAATAACCATCCTGGGGTGCCTGGGTGGCTCAGTAAATTAAGTGTCTGACTCCTGCTTTCCACTCAGGTCATGATCTCAGGGTCCCGGGATCAAGCCCCGTGGCAGGCTCCACGCTCAGCTGGGAGTCAGCTTGAGATTCTCTCTCCTCACCCTCTGCCCCTCCCCCTACTCATGCACGCAGGCAGGCACACATGCACGCTCGCCCTCTGTCTCAAATAAATCAATCTTAAAAATAAATAAATAAATAACCATCATCAAGCACAGAACAAAGCACTCAGCAGCGATTTAAATCGTGCCTGGTGGGGACACCTGGGTGGCTCAGTCGGTTAAACACCTGCCTTCAGCTCGGGCCGTGATCCCAGGGTTCTGGGATCAAGTCCCACATCAGGCTCTCTGCTCAGTGGGGAGCCTGCTTCTCCCTCTGCCTGCTGCTCCCCGTTTGTGCCCATCTCTCTCTCACAAATAAATAGGATGTTAAAACAACAAACAATAAATTGAAAAGCCCAAACATTAAAAAAAATTAAAATAAATTAAAATAAATTAATTGTGCCCGGTGTACCTGTCCTCCCTAAACAAAAGAAATTTGTGATAATGAGTGATGTTAATCCAAGGAAAAGGTAAACCTCCATAAAAATCTAAGTTTATAAGTCTGTATAGGTTCTACTAGGAAAGTTCTTTCCGATGCTCTTTTAATGATTAGCCTCCAAAGTCAAGAAAGCAAAGGTTGGCAGCAGCTGAGAATGGAAGCAGTCAGCAGTGCCACGGGCTGAGGTCAGCAATGACTCAGCACATGCAGTTCCTCCGCACGGAGGCTGGGATGGGTATTTCACTCTAGGGCCACTTCTTTTGCCTTGCTTCCCTTCAATCGATTTTGATATTATTTCACCCAGGGAAACTAGCAAAACTTCAAAAAAGAAAAAAAAAAGGTTTTCTGGGAGCAAAGGGTAACTGGAGTCCTATACTTAATAATGTTTAATCAATAAATAATATTCTTTTTAAGTCGGTTGTGTACAAACCAACGCAGCTGCTGACTCAGCCTGTTCACTCTCAGTGACCTGTATTTAATACCTTATCTTCTGAACTCGTGGTTAGAGAGGGAGGAGAAAATCGAGAGATGATCAGCTATGTACTCAGGTTGCTCCTCCGTAAACGGGTCAGGTCTGTGGTTAAGTATTAAACAGTAAAGGGACCATTTTGCCATGACAACAACTTTTCAATTAAGCCAAATTTCTGGTTCGGCTAACGTACAAGACCATTCATGAAATAGGTCATTCAACAATCATCACATTTTAGAGCTGGTAGCGAGTTCTTCTAAACCAACCCCCTACTTAAAACAGGTATGGAAACCACCAGCCAGGAGGGAAACACGCAAGGCAGCACTGTCACGCCTCCAGGCGTGCGGACTCCAGGCCTGCGCTTTACCATACAGCAGCCCCCGGCTACACGTGGCAACTGCATACTTCAAGTGTGGCCAGTCCAAACTGAATGCATCATGAATGCAAATACATGCCCGATCTTGATTTTTTTTTTGTTTAAAGATTTTATTTATTTATTTGACAGAAAGAGAGCACAAGCAGGGGAAGTGGCAGAGAGAGGGAGAAGCAGGCTCCCTGCTGAGCAGGGAACCCGAAGCGGGACTCGATCCCAGGACCCTGGGAGGACCCCGGGATCGTGACCTGAGCCGAAGGCAGTCGCTTAACCAACTGAGCCACCCAGGCGACCCCGATCTTGATGATTTAGTGAAAACAAAGACATAAAGTATCTCATTATTAACTCTGTATTGACTACAGTGAAATGATGATAGCTTGCCTATACTGGGATAAATAAGACACAGCAAAGTTAATTTCATCTGATACTTTTTACTTTAAAAAAAAAATGTGGCTAGGGGGCTCCTGGGCAGCTCAGTCGGTTAAGGGTAAGACTCTTGATTTCGGCTCAGGTCATGATCTCAGAGTCGTGGGATTGAGCCCTGCATTGGGCTCAATACTTAGTAGGGAGTCTGCTTGGGATTCTCTCTCTCCCTTTCCTCTGCCCCTCCCCACTGTGCGCGCTCTCTGTCTCTCTAAATAATAAATAAATCCTTAAGAAAAAGAAACAAAGATGCCTCATGTGATGCTTGTACCAGAGCCCTGGGCCTCAGTCCTGTCTGCACCGAGCTTGCTGTGTGGCCTGGGGCCAGTGTCCTCCTATATTTACGGCTCAGTTTCCTTACCTGTAAAATGAAGGCGTTAGACCAGTAGGTCTCAACTGCGGACATCTGACAAAGGCTGGAGACATTTTTGATTGTTACAGTGGACAGGTGATGCTCCAGGTATCTAGTACATGGAGGTGAGGGATGCTGCCAAACATCCTACTTCGCACAGGGCAGCCCCATAACAAAGAATTACCTGGCCTCAAATGTCGATAGCACCAAGGCTGAGAAACCCTGTGTGAGACTGAGGTGACTCCATAGGGCCATTTTGAGGAACCGCCAAACTGTTTTTCAAAATGGCTGTACCATTTTATGATCCCCGCATTTCTCCACATCCCTGCCCGCACACATACTTTTGCCAGCCTTCAGGAGCGTGACTGGCTTTTTACAAAGTCTGGTCTACAGACAATGCCCTGGATTGTTTACAGAATACCAGGGTCACAAAGAAAACCATTAGCCACTGTCTTACCTGGTGCCTATAATTGTACCAGCCGTTTGAACCCGCAACAATCACCACCCAGTGCTTGCCCCCATCCTCGGGATCATCTACAGGAACAGCACCGATGCCCAGGACCACGCTGAGCAACATGGCTACTTCCCAAATCATTCTGTGCCTCAGAGTTCAGTGGCAGAAATCTGGGAAGAAAAAAGCAGAGTCAAGCAAAAAAGGAATGACAAAAACAGAAGAATACTGTAGGCCCCTAAGATTATATCACAGCCCATGGGTCAGAAAGATAAGACCATTTAGTTATCAGATGGAACAGCCTAAGGATAAAAATGATGACAGAGCAGAATTTTATCCTTGGCTCTGCAGCCCCTTTCCCTAGGGGGAGAAGAATCGACCCAGCTCTCTCTCACTACAGGTTGAAGTTAAGGGTATAAACCAAAGAATACTGGGACACCCTTTGGGCAACCTTAAAAGGTTTTAACAAGTTTTGGTCACAACTTGGAATACAGCAGATAAAACTCACCAACAAAATTCACCGTATTGGAAAAATGTCTACCACACTGTATGAAATGTTTGCAAGAAAAGAATATACATGTAATGTGTGCGTACAAAATGTGGAAGGCAGACATAAAAATTTAACAGTAGTTACTGACTGGTGGTAGGTGGAATTCAGGATGATTTTCTTCCTATTTCTTTTTACTACCATTAACAGATATTACTTATGCAATAAAGTGTATAAAAATTCAATGTGTGTCCAATATAAATACTGAGGGGAGATTCCTAAGTTGTAAGCGAGTTATCTGGATAAGCTATAGGCAAAGAGCGGCAGCCCAAGTTAATGTCTTTGTACATTTATAACCCATTTACACGTAGTTAATACAGCAGGCAGAGCACAAGTTTTAGTCCTTGTTTTACGGGAAGGGGAGGTTAAAGCAAGAGAAGCTAACTTGTCCAATATCCACGGTTAGCCAGCTCTGGCCAGAGACCAAAACCCATGTCTTCTCAATTCCCAGCTCGGTCTTTCTGCTGCATGGTCCTACACTGAGACTTCATTCCTAATGAAGCACATGCCCAGTTGTATACTCCGCTGCCCAAACGTCCCAAGTTTTAAAGCACAAAGGCAGTACTCAGGCCGCGTCCTGGCCTCCTTGCATCGCTCACATCAGACCCTGCCCCACAACCTGAATACGTTATTCTAAAAAAACAGCCTTCCTGTGACAGACGCTAGGCCTGTCACATTAAGAGGAGAAACAGTCTCTGAGATGTAGGGACTTAGCAGAACAAAGTCCACGAGGCTGACCTGAGACTCTTCTGTCATTTGTCAAACAGTGCTCACTCACTCACTGGCTTATTCATTCACACAGCCAGCCAGAGGCTCCTGCCGGAAAACACACTGGATGCTCTGAACGCAGTAGGGATAGGACAAATCCTCTGTCCTCAGGGGGCACGCAGCCAGCTAAGGGATGAAACTCCTGTAAGCTGAAGAAACTATCCTTAGCATCCTGTGCCTAACACTGTGCTCAAACTCAAAATGGACTGAGCAGTGGGTTTCCCCCCAAAGGTGAAGGAACAGAAAGCCCTGAATCTGATAAAAATTTAAAAACCTAAAAGCGCCTTAGGCCAGTGCTTCTCCAAACCAACTGTGACCTCCATCCTCTGGGGATGCAATTCTGATCCAGTAGGCGTGGGCTGGGCCTGAGACTCTGCATTTCCAACAGGCTACAGGCAATGCCCAGGACTCAACTTTGATGTAGCAGGGCTCTCCATTAACCTTGGTGGGCTCTTGTTCACCTCTGGTCCGAAGCCCCACGGGCCAACACTAATCCTTACCCGCCACCTGCCTCCGATACCCCCTTTAGGAACTTTTTTTTTTTAATTTTTATTTTAAGTAGGCTCCACGCCCAATGTGGGGCTTGAACTCACGACCCTGAGATCAAGAGTCACATGCCCCACTGACTGAGCCAGCCAGGTGCCCCATCCAGGAACTCAATTCTTACTGTATAATGTATATCCACATTTCTTTGGCGTCACTGCAAAACTGCCCATGGATGAACGGGTAACTACAGTAAGGTACCCTAGGTTTATTCTTAAGCTTATTCTGAAATGGCCATGCTTTTTGTTTGTTGTGTTTTGTTTTTTAGTACAGTACAGGACGGAGGAGGTCAGGCAACAGATGAAGGCAGTGGATTGCCCAGGCCACCCCGGTGCCAGAACCAGCTGGCCTTAACGTGTTAACATGCACCTGAGGACGCTCTCCCAAGTCCTCTTGACATGACCGGTGCTCACTGTAGGGCTGGGAGGTAACAGCAGGGGCGACAGTGACTACAGAGGTGACCCCCCCCGCCGCGCAGCAGCTCTTTGATTCTGCGCTCACCCGGCGGCCTCCTGACTGCACTTGAACCTCCCTGGGAAGCCTTCCCCTGGGGCAGCAGTTGGCACACTTCTTCTCTAAAGGGCTGGACAGTAAATAGTTTACCCTGCAGATCACACCATCTCCCTTATGACTGTTCGGCTCTGCCCCCGTACTGTGAAAGCAGCCAGAGACCGTAAGTATACCAGTGGGTGGGGAGTTGTTCCAATAAAGCCAGGACAGGTGAGTCTCTTTGGCCCGCCCTAGGGTGTGAGAATACGCCCTCAGCCCACGTGACCAGTATACAGCCTGGCTGGCTCTTATCTTCCAGCAGCAATCATTATACGGGCTCCCTGGTTTACACACCAGTCTCTGAGTTTGGTTCATGTGACTGAATCATGAAGAGGCTCCTTCCTGGGGAGGCCCTGCCATGTGACTTTACCCCTTCCTACTTAGGGACAAAAAGAATACATAAAACACCAGAATCACAAAGCTGGCCTGACCGTGAACCACGGAAAGGACACCACCAGCCTAACTGCCTTCATTGGCAAACACCACAGCAGGTACTGAAAAAGCACCGCCAGGTTATTTTTACAAATTCAAATTCATCTGTCATTCTTCTACTAATATGCTAGCATGCTACCCCTCAGTGAGGAAATGTGCCTATTAAAACACAAGTGATACTTTCACAGTTAACGTTTGGCAATGGTTCCTGTCTATCACCTTTTTTGTTTCTTATAAACACAGAGTACGGTTCCTTGAACAGAATGGCAAGCAAAAAGCCTCACAGTATGACACTGATTGGAAAATGTCACTTAAAAAACACGTATGTTAAGGGGTGCCTGGGGGGCTCAGTTAAGCATCCAACTCCTGATCTCAGTTCAGGTCTTGATCTCGTGAGTTCGAGCCCCGTGTTGGGCTCCACGCTGGGTGTGAAGCCCACTCAAAATAAATGAAATTTAAAAAACATGTATGTTAATACCATTTGGGGAAACATATTGGGGCCTGGGGTGAAGATGAGATGTGAAATACAATCTTTCCACTACCCTCAGCAAGAACATGTCTTAAAGCAAGCAGCCTCACCCAGCCATTTCCTGATCAGCAATATTCTTGGCAAAGTCAAAGCCTCAAAACAAAATCACAATCTTGCAACATAACATACTATGATTCTTGTTCTATCAAAGAGAAAAGTTCAGGAAGACAAAGTAAGTGATTCCTGCTGAGCTAGCTCTTCAGGATGGCTATTTCTGCAGTCTCCCCACCCATCCATCCAACATCCAACAAACACAGCCTGAGCACCCCCTAGGTGCTCACAGGCACCGAACAGGGAACCAAATGACAGAACCCTTCACTGAGCTGACATTCCAGTGGGAAGAGACACAATTTAAATCCACACATTGTCAGAGGGGATGAGTGTTAAGGAAAAATATAATGCAGGAGGAGTGGGAGGCATCATTTTTCAAAATGGAAAGACTTGAAGGAGGCGAGGAAGTCCACCCATTTCTAACAGCAAAATGCTGGAAGCAATATACATGGTCATCGACAGAGGGCTATCTAGCTAAATCAGTCATGGTACACCCTTATGATGGGACACTGTGGAGCCTTTAAGAAGAGCAAGGTGGATCTTGATGTGCCGAGAGTGGAAAGATCTCCAAGGGGACTGTAAAGGATGTATGCAGAGTCTGCTAACCATTTGTGGGGAGAAAATGACAGACAGGTGTGACCCTAACCAGGGGAGAAAAGGTGTCCCCCACAACGACACGTGTTGATATGCTGCACGGGGCGGCAGAGTGGGTTTCTGCAATAAGCCATGCAATGTACGCTTCACACAATCCTCAGAAGCCTGTAAGCCAGCCTCATCGCTCTGTTCACAGAGCTGAGAAAAGAGAGGCTGGGCAGAGAGAAACGTGGTGGTAACTGCTGGGGCTGACACACCGATCTGCTCCAGAGACTGCTTTTTCTACTATACACCCCCTCGCTTGTCACAAAAAGAGTTGTTCATGTGAAGGTCTGCGAGACCGGGTAACCAAAAGTGGGCACACAACATGCCCCACTCAGGGCCCAAACCCTTCCTCCAGCAGGTCACCACCCACCCTCCAACCAGGCTCTTTGCCACCCTACTATTTTAAGGCACTTGTGGGCAATCTGTATAAAGAGCTCTCCTCTTAGAAGAGCCCTTCAAAGGAAAACCTGAACCACACAAGCCAAGATCAACGGCCAACCCTTTACGAATGAATTTTGCCAGCCTCCAATGACAAGTCCTCTGCTGTTGCCATTGGTCCTGCATCCCTCTCAGGCTACAGGGCTACACAAGGTCAGTAATTCCATTAAAGGACTCCATTTGACTTAAAGAAGTATGCTAGCAAGTGAGGTTCAATTCATTTGAGAGGTTTGGGACAGAATGCCCATTCTAGATAAACTGTCACCAGCAATACAAGTAATGAGGCCCCAATCACAGGACTATCAAAGTCAAGGTCTGACCCAAGGTCTGACACCAAAGCCTATATTTTAACTACCCTCAGGTGTGAACTCTCACTGCCAGTCCTGATTTGCTACTGGCTCTGGGTTGGAAACAGGGAATCATCAAAGCCGAGCAAAGCAGCTAACTAGACAATGACATCTGAAGACAGCCTTCCAAACCTGAAGGTCTTTGATCCTGCTCTTTACTCTCCAGGGGCTTACAATAAGATCAACGTAAGTGGACCCTGACTGACCACATGCAAGAGAGACAAGGAGAGATGATAAGGACCCCTCCTTGACCGAACTGAGTCAAGCTCCTCTGAGCCCCCATCTCAAGTAGGTCTTGGCCTGCTAAGTTCAGTTTACCAAGAATCCCATGAGAATAGCCCACCTTTGGTATCTAATCAAGGTCCCTTGTAATTTTCCATCCACTGACCCTCTCAGCCTGCCCATAAATCCCAACTACCCTTGCTGTATTCGGAGTTGAACTCAGATCTACGCTGAAGTATCTGTCCCTAACGTAATTGCTGGAATAAAACCTGTCTTGCTGTTTTTAACAAGTGTTTAGTGCAATTTCTCTAACACAGGACACACAGCTACTAAGTCAGGGGAGACCCTTCCCTCTCTGGGCCTTAATTGTCTGTGCATTGAGATGGTAGAACTGAATTATTAAGGGCAGATTCAGTTCTCAAACCTTTTAACTTCCTGTTTTACAAGTGAGATTAACACAAAATCCAGGGGCGACTGGGTGGCTCAGTCAGTTAAGCGTTTGCCTTCGGCTCAGGTCATGATCCCAGGGTCCTGGGATCGAATCCCACGTCCAGCTCCCTGCTCAGCAGGGAGTCTGCTTTTCTCTCTACCCCCCGCCCATGCACACTCTCTTTCTCACAAAAATAAATTTTAAAAATTAAAAAAAAAGGAAAAACAAAATAAATAAAAAATCCAACCAGCTCTTATCTCAAATGAAAACTATTTTATTAAGGTTAATCAATATTTTTCCTACAGGGAAAATTTCTGATTCAGTGGCAAACTGGATTCTAGATTAGAGCCATGTCCTTTAAGGTTACCTAATTCTGACTCTATGTAATTTTTTTCTTTACATCTCTGTAAACTGGGTAACTGCAATGCAAACAATTCTTATCTAAAGACATACAAATGAATTCTATAAAGTGGAGGCTGGGTTGATTTCCGGTTGTAGAAAGACGCCAGTTTTGCCTGCCATTTGCCCATTCATTTCATTATTTCTGACCCTGGAGTCTCCTTTGATCTGGCTGCAACCATCACACTACATTTCCTCATTATAAGTTAAATGTAATCTTTAGTACTTGCTCACTTTTATACCTGTATCGAGTGATGACTTTACCTTTTTTAAAAATTATCTTTTGGGGCACCTGGGTGGCTCAATTAAGCACTGACTCTTAGTTTCAACTCAAGTCATGATCTCCTGGGTCATGGGATTAAGCCCCGGGGGCGGGGGGTTGGGCTCCACACTCAGCGGGGAGTCTGCTTGAAGAGTCTCTCCTCTGCCCCTCCCCCTCACTCTTTCTCAAATAAATAAATAAATCTTTTTACAATTATTTTTTAACATTACAAAAAGCATAAGTAACTAAATCATATTTCCAAATAGACACAATCAATAAACACTTTTAAAATCTCCTAATGGTTAGAAGAATTTTGGAATCTAGCAAAGTAAAATTTGCCCAGTGGTAAACAGTTTTTCCACATTTTTATTTTCACAGTTATCTGACACTTGAATCCCTTTTACCACAATTACTATTTTTGAAACCTGTTTTCAATGTAGTTTGTAATATTTTCCCACAATGACTGAATGACTTTTCTAGCTAGATGTGAATTAAGCTAAATTTTGTTATAAGTTATATTCAAGAAATTGAAAGGTAAACATTATAGAAATGTACTAAGTACAATGTAAAACACCTGTTACCTATCATCAAGCCCATGAACTGTTAATATTTTGCAAATCTGAGAACTCTCTCCCCATAAAACAAATACAATATTAGATGAAATTCCTTCCCATGCCCCGTCCCATTCTCCCCACCACCAGAAGATAACCATGATCATAAGTTAACATTTCTTTTTCTTTCTTTCTTCTTTTTTTTGGTGCAAAAAGGTGATTTTATTAAAGCATGGGGACAGGACCCATGGGCAGAAAGAGCTGCATAAGTTAGCATTTCTTTTCATTCACTTTATTATACTTTTAAAACATGTATGTCCACTTTGTAAACATTCCCTTCTAAGGGACATTTAGGCGGTTTCAAAAATTTATTATAAATAACGTTGCAGTAAACACCCTAATACTCCTCTCCTTGCAAACAAATGTCTCTGTTTCTCTAGGCTACTTTCTAGAAGTGGAACCACTTGATCTTAAGATATACACACTCATTGTTTTAAAAGATTTTATTTGACAGAGAGAGAGCACAAGCAGGGGGAGCGGCAGGCAGAAGGAGAGGGAGAAGCAGGCTCCCCGCTGAGCAGGGAGCCTGACGTGGGGCTCGATCCCAGGACCCTGGGATCATGACCTGAGCCAAAGGCAGAAGCTTAATCGACTGAGCCACCCAGTTGCCCCCAAAGTTATCCTTAATCTTTAAGGACATCAAGTGTCCTTGGGATTTGATCTTGTAGGCAGCATATTGAACGCAAAGGGAGGACAAAATCTAAATCTCTTACAGCAGCACAGAAGGCCCTGCAAGATGTACCACTCTATTCTTATGAAACAGAGCTCATGAAATTCACCACCCACATGAAATCCCTTGTTCCAACCAGGCTCCAAGACCGTGGTCCAAAATCGTGGCTCTTTCCATGCCTTCACCATGCTGTTTTCCAGGTGAAACATTCTTCATCACACTAGCTCCTCCCATCCCTCAAACTCCATTCAGGCGCTTCTCTGCAAAGTTCTACCTCTTCCCACAAATAAGGATTAGATGCTTCCAACAGGGTTAGATGCTGCCCCTGTGCAAACCTGTAACTGAAATGATTCTCTATTGACTGCCTCTCCCCTTTACAAAAAACTCCAGCTCAAAAAGTAAGGCTCAATGAACGTTTGCTAACGAATGGAACCCTACAGTAAAAAAGCTGAGCTCCTCCACTCTCTACGTACCACAGGGCAAGTCTCAAACTCTGGGCATTTATTTTCATCTATAAAACGAAGCCCATGATACAAAGTTCCTTCTTCCAGGCCCCAGATTCTACAATTCTTGGCATGGAATAACCCATGTACATATAACCTCCCCTCTAATAGTTAAGGGGCAGGGGACCTAATCAAATTTTCACTTTCACGCTTGAAGTGAATCACCCTATGAGTCCCACCAGCTCAAGCCTCTGAGAACTAGAGCATCCCTAACTTCTCAGAAGGGATGTTTTTACATGTTTGGGTATTTCGGCTGTTGTAGTTACCTGCTTTTCCCCTTGGCTACGGAGAACTGGGTGGAAATGGGTGCAATCCTCCACATTACAAGCACCTAGAGCCTGAACTGCTCCTAGGCTGTGAAGGTTGGAACCAAGCGCCAGACCCTGCCCCGCACGCCCCGGCGGTGGGACCTTAGCCAATACCCTCTCCCCGCCCCCGTTTCCCCCTGAGCTTGGAGGAAGGGCCTGGGCTTCCAGCCCGAGCTCGCGCCAATAGAAGAGAGCCGCCAGCAGCCCACGACCACCCCTCGGGAGGGCGGGCTGAGAGGTCGCAGCATTTCCCTTGGGATTCACCGTTTCCCGAAATGCTCTTCCGCAGCGTGAGAAGCGGATTACTCAGGGCCGCGGGAGCTGAAAATCCCGCCGGTGAGGCCCAGAGCCGCGGCGCACAGGCAGCCCTGGCCCGGGACGTGGGGCCTGGCCCGGATCCCCGGCTGGGGCTCGCGGTTACCTGCGGCAGAAGACCGCGGTGGGGGCGCGGGGCGGCAGGACCGTGGGAACTCCTCGCGACGCGCAGCCTCAGACGCGCCACCTCGCGATGTCCGCCCTGCAGTGATTGCGGAGCCTGACCCGGCTCCAGGCTTTAATGGCCTAGGGCGCTGCGTTGATTGGTGGAACTTCGGGGCGGGCGTCTGCAAAAGCCAATGGGAGAAGGAGCGAGGCGGGGCCGGCGAGCCATTGGTCCTACAAGTCCCAGCATGCAAGAGCCGGGCCTTCTGGGCCCACAGCCCGCGGATCCTGGGAGAACCTTGAGCGGTGAAGGGGGCCCGGGGTATGTGGGACTTGCCTGGAAACGCAGCAATTCCAGAAGTGTCCACCGAAGGATCAAAACTAGCGCGCGGGGCACTTTAACCCACTGGTTTCCGAACTTGTCGCACTTTGGGATCATCTAGGGAAACAAAAATCCTGATGCCCCAGTGTCGGCCCAGACGTCGGTGAGTTGTTCCTTGGTCTGCACGTGTTCTGGGTCTTGGAACCTTTAAGGATCCCCCGGTGATCGAATGTGCAGGTCCATTTAATCCTCGAGACAACCTTATGAGAAATAGGCACTCTTATTGTGGTCCCTGCTTTACAGTTAGGACGACTGAGGGAGGTTCAGCCGTGGAAAGTAAATTAATCTTCTGAAGACCGCATTAGATCTGAAGTGGCGGGGCCAGAACCCATACCCAGGCAGTCTGTCTAGCTCAGAATCCTGTCCTCTTCATCCCTATGCAATGGTATTTTTCAAATGTTTGGTATTATTATCTCACAGGGAAATGGGGAACCTTTATACGTACCTGTGCCATGTGGAAGAGCACAGTAGATTGAACTGAGTGCAATTGATTGCAGTCCTACCCAAGCACATCAAGTGTAAGATGTAAGGGCTGCATTCACAGGTTGTCTCACTTGATCTTCTTTTATAATCGTTTTTTTTTTTTTTTTTTTACAGTAAGTCAAGCGAGAGCATACTGCCCAGAGCCTGCTTCCTATTTTTGTAAATAAAGTCTGTGGGAATGCAGCCATGCCCACGGGTTTTGGTATTATCTCTGGCTGTTTTTACCAACAAGGTAGAGTTGAGTAGTTATACAAGAGACAAGATTTTGGCCCACAAAATCGAAAATATTCACTGTCTGACCATTTACAGAAAAAGGTTGCCAACCCTGAGTTAAGTTCTCCACACTCTTAGCTGGGAAGTGACCATAGTCTTCTTCAGACCCATGTCTGTCCAAGTCCAAGGCGAAGTCTCATGACCAGTACACTTTCACAGTCTTCCTCAGTTGGGAGTGGTAGGAGTTCATTCATCCATTTATTCAAGAACACATTTAGTGGATGTCCCTTATGTGCCAAGTGCAGCTTATTATTGAGAGAAATTGGATTCTTTTTTTTTTTTGAAGAGAGAGAGATGGGGGGGCAGTGTTGGAGGGGCAGAGGGAGAGAGAGAATCTCAAGCAGGCTCCACGCCCAGTGCAGAGCCCCAAATGGGGCTCAGTCTCACAACCCTGAGATCATGACCTGAGCTGAAATCAAGAGTCGGACACTTAACCGACAGAGCCACCCAGGTGCCCCGAGAGAAATGGGATTCTGTTCTTTCCCCTTGGGAATTCACTGTCTAGTAAGAGAGGAACAGGGTGTCCTTAACCAGTCCCTCAATTCACCCAGAATAAATGGTGGCCTTTGGTTAGGTTTTCACAGGTGAAATGGAACAGAAGTGGTGGCCTGATGCCAGGCATGTTTAGGCAAATGAGGTCCAGGGATAGCCCCCTCAGCCTCCCTCAGCAGCACCATGAGCTGAGAGCCGAGAGTATGGGACGAGAGAAGGGGGCTGAAAACTGAGGACCAGTGGGTGGCTGGGAGTTGGCAGGGAGTTCCCATGGTAATGGTCAGGAGAGCCTTAGAAGAGACTGCAAGGTGGCTAGCCTAGGCCAGCCACAAGGAGGAGGCTGAGATGAGAGGGGCCTGGAGGGAGAAGTGGGTGCACATGGTGGGTTCTGCCATCAAGCTACCTGGATTCCGATCCCAGCTCCAGCACATACAAGCTGTGGGACCTGAGCAAGTTATTCAATTCCTCAGTGCCTGGGTTTCCTCAACTGTAAAATAGAACAGCACCTACTTCTCTCGGTAAATTGAAGGAAACACAGTGCTTAGCATCTAGTAAGTGCCGCATGAATGGCATCTACCTGCTGGGCTAAGAGCATGATGAGAAAAGGAAGATAGGAATCTCTGACCTTGGGCACTGCCTGTGCTCTGAGACTACACACGGAATGGGATTGGCGGCATGGTGTGGGAAGGGCAGCACCAGTGGGAGGGCCAGGAGCCAAGGCACCAGAAGAAACCCCAGCGTGGCAGGAGGGTGGCAGGCTCCCTGTAAACATATAGGCATGAGGACACCCCCCCCAAATGTCCCCGGTGAAATTCTCACCAGGAAAGTCACAGTATGGGGCTCAGAGGTTAGTGAGGCTCAAGCCAAATAAAAATGTGTGATACCACAAGACTGTGGCAGATAACTCAGCCACCAGAGATAAGAGCACTGAGGAGCCATTTCAGATTCCGTCTTTGTCTATCTAATAGCGAGAGACTAAGTGAGAGGTTCAGATTATAAAGCAATAAGCGCTGGAGAGAGTAGGAAAAGAAATTGGTTAAGTTTAGAGCAGGTTTCTGCACCTCCAAGCAACACTTGGAGGCCGGGTAGTTCTTTGTTGCGTGAGGGAGGTTGGGGGGCTGTCCTGAACCTCGTAGGATGTCTAGCAGCATCAGCATCCCTGGGCAGCTACCCACCTGATGCCAGGAGCACCCTTCCCTCAAGTTCTGACAACCAAAAATGTCCCCAGACATTGCCAAAAGCCTCCTGGGGGAAGGAGGGGCAAAATCTGCATGCACGCCCCGCCCCTTCCATAGTGAGAACCGCTGGTTCTCAGGACTCAACATTCATTCAGTCATTCATTCATTCTGTTTGATAATGATGGTCAAAGGCATGACGCTCTCCAGACATCCTGGATTTCGACTCCATCTCTGACACTTCCTGGCCGTGGGGTCCTGGACAATCTCTTCACTTATCTGTGTTTCATAGGGTTGTTGTAAAGTTCACACGAATTGATCCATAATGAATGAACTCAGAACAGATTCTCGTCAGGTGTCAGCTATTTCTTGAGTGCATGAGAAGTGCTAGGCACTAACTCGACCCCTGAGGATCCCTACAATCAACTGTCCCCACCACAGACTGACCTTTTGTATGAAAATATTTCAACGGAGGGGCACCTGGGTGGCTCAGCCGTTAAGCGTCTGCCTTCGGCTCAGGTCGTGATCCCAGGGTCCTGGGATCGAGCCCCGCATTGGGCTCCCTGCTCGGCGGGAAGCCTGCTTCTCCCTCTCCCACTCCCCCTGCTTGTGTTCCTGCTCTCGCTCTCTCTCTCTCTGTGAAATAAATAAATAAAATTTAAAAAAAAAGAAAGAAAATATTTCAACTGAAATATGTAATATTGTTGATCTAAATAAAGGGGTAAACTGAGGCAAGCTCAAAAGGAGGAGTTTATTTGGGAAGAGCAGAGGAATTGCAGTTTGAGACAAGCAGACTGTTGCAAGCTATAGGCGAGCGCATTGAGAGTTTGGGGTAGGTTGTATTTGTGGGCAGGGAATGTAAAGAGAGGAACGTTCAGCCAGAAGTCAGTCAGACTCAAACACACACGGAGACCAGCTTTGAAAATGAAGGGGTCCAGGACAGGCCCCCAGATTGTGCCACTTAAACCATGTTTACATGTACAGTTTAGTAGCATTAATTATGTTCACATTATTGTGCAACAAATCTACTTCTAAAACTTTTCATCATCTTAAAAATCATTCCCTCCTTCCTTGAATAAAATCCTACCAGGCTAACATCCGCTGACTCCAGCTTATTCCCATGACCTCACTTCCTGTCACAAGACTCACTCCACTCCGGCCCTCGTGGCCTTCTCGTCTTGGCCCTGTGCGAGCCCCTCTTCCTGGCACATCCTTCCTCTTCCAGTCACGCAGCTCCTAAGAGATGACATCCTGGCACGAGACAGCACGATAAAAATTGCTGTGGTCCTAAACTCAGGGGCGGGGGAAGAGGAGGGGCGCCATCTCTTCCTGGTTGTTTTTGAAGGATTTCCAAGCAATCAATAAGCATTTATTTATTAACAGGCAGTATTCTTAGAATGGGCCCCCAAGACCCCTCACGCATGTATAATCTCCTCCTGCAGGATGGGTGAAACCTCTGAATAGGATATATTAAAGTGGTACAGCAGGCCCAAAATAGAGTCACTTATGCTAAGCCCCACATAGAAAACCAAGACTTCCTACGTAATCTGATTGCAGCTTCAGCCTCTCCCAGGAATAGAATTATAAACCAGTCTGGAATTTCCTGATTGACACTTCGTAAGAAGGTAATCTGCATGATAGACCCCTGCGCTTCCTCCCACCCACGCTCCAGCCCTCCAAGAAAAGTGATCTTGCCTGAAACAGCCCTTTCTTTTCTTTTGCTAATAACTTCCGTGTCCCACCCATTTCTGCCTGTAAGTCTTCCATTTTTTAAAAGATTTTATTTATTTATTTGAGAGAGAGAGAGCTCACGCACGTGCGTGTACAAGAGCAGGGGGAGGGGAAAGGAGCGGGGGAAGGGGAGGCAGAAGGAGGGGGAAGGGCAGACTGCCTGCTGAGCAGGGAACCCCAGGTGGGGCTGGAGCCCAGGACCCCGAGATCATGACCTGAGCCGAGGGCAGATGCTTAACTGACTGAGCCACCCGGTCTTCCATTTTATACAGCTCTTCCGATCCCCTTTCTACTTGCTAGCAGGATGCTGCCTAATTCATGAATCCTTGAATAAAGCCAATTCAATCTTTAAATTTACCCAGTTGAATTTTTGCTTTTTTTAACAGATTACATATCACTCCTATGATTATGTTATCGGTGAAGGGTAGTCGGAAGAAAGGTGGGCAGGGACAAGGGCCCCGCCCTAAGAGGAAACCGCCCTTAAAAGAATTTTACACCATCCTGAAAGGAGCCTTCCACCCTTTGCCAAGTGATAGATGACAAAAACCTGACTGGATGACAG